GAAAGGAGGGAGAATGAGACAAAAAGGGAGAAAAGAGTGGAGGAGAGTGTGCCGACCTATTGGGACCTGCACAGTAGGGACTGGCAGGTCCCAACTGTGATCTCATCCCTCCTAGAATAAGGAAGGCCAATCCGAAATTTAGAGATATGGCCCTTGGGGCCATATCTAAAAAAAATCTGAATTAAAAAGCAGAAAATGAGAGAAAATGCAAAAGGAAAAGGTCGGTTTTCTTTTGCACCATAGATCTGAGATCAGATCTCATGGTGGAGAGGACCTAGCCGTTTTTTGTGGGCCATCTCAAAACGGCTAGCTCCGGAATGAGGTGGCAACCCAAAATGGAAAGAAACAAAAGAGGGAAAATGACGAAACTATGCATTTGGCTCAAAAAGAGAGCCAGATGCACCAAAAATTGAAAAAGTGGACTTAGGGGCTCAAAATTGAAGCAAGGACTACTAGGGGGTAGCACGGATTATTGCTGGTCTTGGATCTCAGCCAAATCCAAGGCTGAAAATGTGCCGCCACATGGAAAAATGCTCCGGCCTACCCAAGGGAGGCCGAAACTTGAAAAAATCAAGTTTCAAGTATTGTTGCCCCTTGGGCATTAGCACCCAAGGGGGCAGCATTTGAGCAATGGAAAAGAGGCCGAAGTCGGCCAAGAGGCAGTCCGAGTTGGTACCAACCACTCGGGCTGCATGTACTTGACCAAAATGAGGCCCAGGTACCTCCAGAAGGGCCTAGTAGGGGAATTTTGCCTTGGGGGTACCTCGGTTCACCCCAAGGCACTTGGAGAGGCTCATGGGCTGGCCGGACTGCTGGTTTCAGCCTACATAAAATGAGGATGCAGTCCGCCACTCTCACATTTGCATGAGGAGTGCCCATGCTGCCCAAGTGAGCTCATAGGAGCACCTTTGCACTTGGAGTGAGGAGAGAGGAACCCATGCTAGTAGGAGAGCTCAGAGGAGACTAGGAGGTAGTGGGAAAGACTCTAGAGGATAGTGATGGTGGGAGAAACACTTGGGAAGTGATCCGCCATATCCCCCCCTGGGTGTAGGAGAGAAGGAAAGGCTAGAGGAGTCCCATTAGCCCTCCTAGAGGGGAGGACTCCATAGCTATAACTGAGGAAGCTTGCCATAGCCTAGGAGAGAGTAAGGAAGGAAGAAAGAGGGGCTTGGAGAAGAAGGAAGCCATAGCCAAGAGAGGATTGTGCAAGGAGTGGAAGCTTCATCGAGGAGACACCATCATCAAGTAACCAACAAGGTGAGAGGAAGGAAGAGACTTCTTCATCTTCATCTTCATCTTCTTCTTTTTCTTTTTCTTCTTCTTCTTCTGCTTCTTCTTCTTCTGCTTCTTCTTCTTCTCCTTCCTCTTCTCCTTCTTCTTCTTCTTTTCCTCTCTCCCTCCTTCTTCTTTCTCTTCTCCCTCCCCTTCATTTTCTACCCCCTCCATCTTCACCTTCCTCCTCTTCACTTTCATTTCTCTTTGTCTTCTTCCTCGTCTTCTCCATCTTTATCTCCCTCATCTCTCTCCCTTTCTCCTCCATCTTCTTTTACTTCATCTCCTTCCTCCCATGGGCTACTCAAACTCTCATCTTCCACTTGCACACTAGGGGGTCGTACTCCGATTCTTTTCTAGATTATCCTTGATGCAATCTTGGTGATTTGGGCTCTTCAAACTTGTGCTTTTCACTCTCACACTAGTAGGTAGGATACCGCTACACTCATGGATGCTTCTTGATGCAATCTTGGTGATTTGGGCTCTCCAAACTTGCGTTTTTCACTCTCACACTAGTAGGTCGTATAGCGCT